TTCCTCTACCTACTGTATGCATGTCCATGAGACTTGACGGCAAAACACAGAACCCTGAAGCAGTGACTTCGTATCGCGTTGTTCTTGACTCTTGCCTCATTCTCGAGGATGTGGTACACTGGCTTGGTGAAGAGGCCGATGAAGGTGTCTCGCTCCGAGGTGGTAACGAAGATTCGGCCCAGCTTGAGCCTCAGCACTTTGCTCATGCGGTCGAGAGCCGTCTCTAGTTGCGCTGAGGCATCCCAGACGACGTCTTTGCCGCCTCCCGCTTTTGTCTTTGTGGCCTTACCCCGCCCCCGCGCTGCTGGTGCAGAGGCAGACTTCTCAAGCGCTCTGGTCTCGACGGCGGAGATGGTCCATCGGAGAAGGAAGCCATACATCTCCAGCAGGTTCTTGTGGTGTGGTATCGCATCTTGGTCTTCGGCTTCGAGGTCGGCGTGGATGATGTCGGTTTGCGTGGACAGCGCCGAGGAGATGAGGTCGAGGATCTTGCTGAGGATGGCTGGCGGTATTTGCGACGAGTGCCTAGATAGTCGGAACAGTTTAGAATTAGGTTCCGTGTCATATTGTTTTGCATCCTTTGGATATGCGGGGACGCACTTCAAGAGAAACTGCAGCGTGTCAAACACAGAGCTGCGAGTAATCGCATCTGGACTCTCTGCCACGGCATCGACCACAGGATTCAGCTCGCTGTTGATCAATCCGGGCGACGACAGCGATTCTGGCTCATCTTCGCAGTCTTGCAGCGCCTGCGGGGCCTCGGGGGTGGGTATCGCGGAGGGATCGCTGTCGAACAGCTTAACCGCCTCATTGATGTCAAAATCCACCCGGGCGTCCATGATGATCAGAGTCGCTTGAGGAGATCAGAAATCAGAAACAAGAAGCGACGAAATGAGCGTCGGGGCTAGGGTGGGGGTGTTTGCGCCGTGAAAGTTAAGATGCGGCCGCAACCGTCGCACATGCACCGACCCAGGAAGGCGCGTTGCAGCTGTTTGTTGGTGGTCCGAGCGTCTGCCATCAGTCTTCCCCTTTCGGCCTAGGCAGCCAGGGTCCAACGCGTCGGCCGCCATACCGCGAAGAAAGATTCACGCATCGTTCGACACAACATCACAAGCCACGCGCACCATGGCAAAGGCACGCACTTCACTGCGTCATGCAGAGGCAATCGACGTCCATGAGGACGATATGGGAGAGGACCAGGCCGAAGAGACACAGGACGAAAGCATGAACCCGCTCGACGAAAGCGGGCGCACTGCCGACAGCAGCGACGAGGAAGTCGAAGATTCCGTTCAGGAAGATATGGCACGCTTCGAGGAGACATTTGTCGGAATCAGCAAGCGGTTCCGACTGATTAACCGCATTGGAGAGGGTATGTCTGAAATCATTGGCTTGCAGCATGCAGGGTAACGGGCGGGACTCACGCTTTCCACAGGAACCTTCTCCACCGTCTACAAGGCTGAGGACCTCGAATACACCAAGTACAACAACGATTGGGACATCGACGAGCGCGAGGAGGCTAAATCTCTCCCAGCACACAAAAGGCAACCCGCCAGAAAGCCCCGCTACGTCGCAATCAAGAAGATCTACGTCACGAGCAGTCCGATACGCATCTTCAACGAGCTCGAATTGCTGTTTGATCTGAGGGATGCGGATTCAGTATGTCCGCTCATCACCGCCTTCCGCCACCAGGACCAGGTCGTCGCTGTGTTGCCCTACTACCAGCACCGCGACTTCCGCGATTACTACCGCGACATGGGCATCTCCGACATGCGCTGTTACTTCAAGAGCCTGTTCACTGCACTTGCAGCCGTACACAAGAAAGGCATCATTCACCGCGACGTCAAACCTACCAACTTCCTCTACAATACCTCGCAGTCTCGTGGAGTCCTTGTTGACTTTGGCCTCGCCGAGCGAGAGGGCACAGACTGGCACAACTGCGCCTGCCACATGTCGGAGGAGGACCGTCGATACAGAATATCACACAGTGTCTACGCGCAGACACAGTCAGCAGGCCACACCGCTTCCGCATACCCCAAGAATGATACACGCAACAGCCGCCGTGCCAACCGCGCAGGTACCCGTGGTTTCCGTGCGCCTGAGGTACTCCTCAAGTGCACCCAGCAGACCTGCTCCATCGACGTTTGGAGTGTCGGTGTCATTCTCCTGACCATGCTCTCGAAGCGCTTCCCGTTCTTCCACAGTGCAGACGACATCGATGCGCTCCTCGAAATCACAACCATCTTCGGACGAAAGAAGATGCGAGAGACAGCCCTCCTGCACGGCCAGGTATTCGAGACCAATGTACCCAGCTATAGCGAGGGTGGGCACAGCCTGGAGAAGATCATACTCTGGTGCACAGGCCGCACAGGCGACAAGACACAACCAAAGAGGGAGCTGGATGAGGATGAGAAGGAGGCTGTCCAGTTCTTGCACCGCCTACTGGAATGCAATCCTGCGAAGCGCATCACAGCAGAAGAAGCGCTCCACCACCCTTTCCTAGTGAACGCTTACGAAGAACATGAGGGGGACGATGACATGAAAGAGGAGTTTGTAGAGGATTAACGCCATCAATCACGTCTATGATGACGATGTATGAGTAATAGCATGGAAGGCGTATAACGGCATGGGCATAGTACAGGAGTTTTGGCCATTTACAGAGCGGCGACTCAATGAGTTATTGCGATACCCTTCCGTACGGTCAAGAGCATGTTCAATATACTTTTGCTCAATAACGATCGTACATTATGATACATTTGAGTCAGTCTGATCCCGCATGGTTGACTGCTAACGGAAGCATAGAGCAATGTCATTGGGTTAAATGCAGATTCATTCTCATTTCTCATAATGAAAGAAGCAGCGCTGTCCAACTCAGGAACACTAATACGTTCAGGGTGGCTGTATCCTCTACTCGATCGTCGCAATCCGCCATCTACTCATCCTGAGCACATTTCTGTGTAATACTGCGAATCTTCTCTCCAAACATGTAAACGAAAATACCCAAGAACATCAGCGCGGCCACAATGCCGCCGCAGATATTGAACGCACCCTCATACCCCGCCTTCTCCACAAAAGCGATCGATCCGAACGAGATTCCAAAGCCAATGAAGCCTCTGAGCGAGCAGATGAGAACGAGCGCAGCATCGATGCGCTGAGGATAAGCATCCATGCAGTACACGAAACTGGAAACGACGATACCGACGAAACCGAAGTACTCGACATTGAGCGTGACGGCGATGCCAGCCCAGCTCCAGTTGTTGGGATTCTGTGCGGTCATGCCGTAGATGATGGTCGAGATGAGGATGGACACCAGCGGGATGATAAGAGCGAGGAGACGGTATTCCGGCTGACTCACACCATCATTCCTCTTACTCATCGTCTTGACGATCAAATCGCTCAGGGAACCGCAGAAGAGCGGGACCGCAACGGCTGTCGCGACCTGTCCCGCGAAGACATAGCCCAACATATCGAAGTTCCAGAGGTAGGGCGGTTGGACAAGGACGCCGGCGAAGAGGGCGGACATGAGGACGTAGATACCGAGCGCGGCGGAGTTTATCAGGATGAGCCACAGGATGTTGGGGAACCAGATGATTTGGAACATTTGCTTCCAGCAGGATATGGCTTCAGACCAGTGGGCGTGGCCTTTCCAGGGGAGCATGTCTTTGACGAAGCTGCGGGGTGCGTAGTTGATGGTGTCGAGGGGCCGCTTGGTGTTTGTTGTTACGGGGACGAGGGTGCCGTCTTCGTCGATACCTTGGCCGTCTGAGGGGGGTTAGTATATGTGCTGGACTATGTGGTGTAGGTCGACTTACTCAGTGCCTCAAGCGTGCGCTCATACTTAGTCTCCGCGACGAAAATGATGCTGAGGACTGCAATGGCGCCGCTCAGACATCCAAACACGCCGTACCACCATCTCCAGCCCAGATCGTTCGCGAGATACGAACTCGCTACAATGAGCGCAGCAGTACCAAGCGTCTGCAGCGCGCAGAACCACGCAATGACATGGCCTCTCTCGTGCAGGTAGAAAATCTCCTGTACGATGATCGGGCACAGCGCTTCAGCTTGACCGGCAGCAATCGACATGACATCTCTGCCTGCGATGTGCGACTCCAGACTCCCACTGTACGCGCACCAGAGACATCCGAAGGAGAGCACGATGGTTGACATGAGATAGACGGGCCTGCGGCCGATGGCATGGGCTACGGGGATCGCGAGGAGGTTACCAACGCCCATATAGAACGCTGGCCAGGTTGCGAGGTCGCTGGTCTTTGGGTCGCCGCCGTACGAGGCTTGTACGATGGGTAGGATGGCGGTGATGCCGCTGGCCATGAGGTTTCCAGTAGCAGCGTACAGACCCACGATGATCAGGATGATGTACTTTTGCCATTTTGGAAGGTTCAGAGGATCTATGTACGTTAGCGATCCTTGTCTTGATGGTTTTGATAGGTCGGGGCTACCATTGGGATCTCTGCTCGGTGTTGGGATCAGCACAATGCCATCCTCGTCGTACAGCCTGATGGTGCCAACCACCGGCCTGGCAGCTTTCTTATGCGCATCGACTATCTCAATGTGAGCGCTGGCTTCGTTCTTGGAGTCGTGAGGCGCCATGATGGACAGCCGCTGATGCCTCGAAACAGAGAGGCATTTCCCAGAATTTGTACACCTCCAGCTCCGAAGTGGACGCAGCTACCAGCGCCATGGCATCTGCGTCGTGACTTGGAACACGACTCTCAGCGCAGTGCAACCCCGGACCTCGCCCGCACTGGGCCGCGCAGCCCAATAAGTATGCGAACGGATTGTGGAGGGAGCGCGGGCTAAGCTGAAAGCAGGTGTGGGGATAGCCCGGTCCAGGCAGGGGGAAAAGCTGGGAACGACATGGGGGACACGAGACGAGACATGCGGGGTACGCGCGTACCGTGTACTTACAGGCCTGGGACATTTTGAGCCTCAAGCTCCTCGGCAAATGTTCACCACCCACACCACGTACGTCACCCTCACGCACCATGAGCGAAGCCGGCATCAAAACATCGCAGCGCGTGAGCCGCTCGTGCGTCGAGTGCAGCCGTCGCAAAATCCGCTGCGACAAGAAATCCCCCTGCGCGCCCTGCGTGCGCCGCAATGCCGGAAACTCCTGCCGCCGGCCGATCGTCCGCGTCAGGGGACAGCTAACCGTCTACGCCGACTCCGAGGCTGGCAGCGCGGAGGATGTGCAACTCGAGGACCTCCTGCGCGAACGAGGCGCCCTGCGCGCCCAGATTGCTGAACTTGAGACCGCTCTTGCGCTGTCGAAGCCTTGTGCTCATAGCCGCACCAGCGAGTCTACGGACTATTCTGCACCGTCGGCTTCCCTGGAGGACCTGATCCCGGCTTTTGAACAGTTCGATATCGGTATCACGACTAATGCTGCACGCGAGGGTGGCGAGAAGGATCTTATAGATAGACTTTACGAACCTGCTGCGGATCCCATCTATCTGCTTCTTCCCAGTAAAGACGCTAGTATCCAACTCGTTACCTTCTCGCTCCAAACGCTGGGTTGGCTGCACTGCGCCGTGGATGCTGATGTGTTCTTCGGAGAACACGAAGAGTTCTGGCAGAGTACGCAGCTCGGTGCTGGCATCGATCGCGCACGGAGACCTTGGCTGGTTGTCTACCTTGCTGTCCTTGCTGTGGGCATACTCTATTCCAACCCAGACGAAATCCCCGATGTCAACCAGCTACCTCAACTTGGAATGCCACTAGACAACCCTGTCTCTATCGCAGTACACACGTCTCGTCTCTGGTATGAGGCCGCACTCAAAGAACTGGAGAGGTATGGGTTTGCAGGCTCACCTTCTCTCCCTGTTGTTCAGGCTCTGTCAGTACTGACACTATGTCACTCCAACTTTGGTGAACACCAGCGAGAGTGGCTCATCACCGGCTTTGCGACAAACATGGCTAGATGCCTTGACATGCACAAGCTGGGGAATGAAGTCAACATCTCCAAAGACCTGTGCAAAAGACCGGAGTGGTCGTCCCCTTCTCAGCGAGAAATGGGGCGTCGGTTGTGGTGGGCTTGCGTTATCCGGGATTGGTAAGTACTACCCACGTACGCTTTGGCCCAATCGATCTGACTGACCCTCTCTAGGCTTGGAAGTTGGTCTCGACCGCCATCAATTTCACCCGCCAGCTTTTGCTGCCATGTATCGACCATCACCAGCCAGGACGACTACATACTACCCAGAACACCCATGGCTGATAGTCCCGCTTCTTTCGAGTCTGGAAATCTTGCTACTCCTTCACCGGCTCATTACCATTCAATCATGTGCCGTGTCTCTTACATAGTCTACATCTACATCAAAGCCAACACACACCAGACGAATTTGAAGTTCATCAAAGCCATCGAGGAGGTTCAGACTGTTCGACGAGACCTGCCCCTGCATCTATCGCCAAACTTTCCAGCCAATGAAGACGACCGGATATGGGAGTTAGAGTACCCTTGGATACCATTCCAGCGCTATCAGATCCACTTCGTTATTGACTTCTTATTGCTGACCATCGCTCGTGTATTGTCACCGGAGAATCCAGATGATGACCCAAACTTCAGACAGCTGGCCCTCCAGTCGGCGAACAATCTTCTGAGCTACTACGCGAAGCCTGTTCCTAGGGTTTACAGGTTAGTTTGGGTTATATCTGCGTCAACAGTCGCAGCTGCTATATACGTATCCTTAGACATGCTTGCCAACCCGCATGACTATCGAGGTGACGCAAAACTTCGAATCATCAACCTTCTAAGAATGGCATTTACTGAGCTGAGAAAGCACTCTGCCGTTGCTGTCCATGCAGCAAAAGGCTCGGCTGTACTTGAGGGGCTTCTGCCCGTGCTGGAACGACACGACACTGAGCTTCCTGGAACGTCACGTACGATACACGAACTACTGCAGCAGCTGTCGATGGCTGATCACAGCAACACCAACGACTTATCCAACTCGGCGCCTCCAATGGACGGCTTTGCTCACCACGGCAACTACGAGAACATTGACATGTTCGATGGGATTGGCAGCACACTCAATGCAACATACGGTTTCGACGACTGGGACGAAGTATTTGCTCAAATGTGAATGATTTCTATACAACGCTATAAAAATTCGCCTCTTGCTAAGAAAGTCATACACTATGTCTTCCTCAGTACGGCTTCACACCCGCCAGCTTAAGCAGCTTATCCGTCAACTCCGGCTTCTCAAGAGGCTCCGTCCGCTCCCACGGATCAATCTCACCATCCACCTTGGCCTTCCCTTGCGAGTGGATATTGATGTGTGGCCAATGTGTAGTCGCTTCCCACTTTTCGAAGATCTCCTTCTTCTTCGCCAGATCCTCTTTGGACGCCATGGCTGCTGGTGTGTAGCAAGCATAGATTATCGTGCGGATGTTGTCTGTCTCGGGGTACACAGCGTAGTGCATCTGTCGCGAATCCCACAGGATGAGATCGCCGGGCTCGGCGCAGACCTTGACCATCTTACAGCCTTGGTCTTCGTACCACTTTACGTCGGTGTCTTGGAAGGGGTAGAAGTCGTAGTGGAGGGCGGCGAGGGGGCCCTTGGTTCGGTCCGGAGGGTGTTGCTTGAAGAACTTGTCGAAGAGCTTGGCTGAGCCTTCCATTACGACGAGGCCACCGTCTTTCGGACCGGCCTCGGAGACTGAGGGGGTGTTAGCAGGGTGCTTAAGAATGGTTCGGAGAAAGGAGTCTTGACGTACGGTTGATGATACCCTGGACGCACGACAGGCCTTGTCGCTCGGGTGCCTGGTCGACGTGCGGCCACGGCTTGCTGCCAGCCATTTTGCCAGCATTCGGCAGTGTGAGGTTGATAGTGTCGTATGACACGATGAGCTCGTTTGTGTTCCACAACTTCTCAAAGGCAGCCAGAACGCCTGGTTCTCTATTCGCAAAAGCATCAGTCACCGAGATTGGCGCGTCATTTGCGAAGAGGGGTACTCACTGTCTTGCCTCCCAAACATACTTCTCGTGTGCAGCGCAGTAGTTGAGGTACATGCCGTTCTTGAAGCTTTGAGGCAGATTCTCTTTGGTCCATGTCTCTGGCTTGTTGATATCGAAGTCGTTGGGGAATGTACCGAGCCAGTCCATCATCTTGTTGCGGTACTTCAGAGCACGCTCCTTGGGCACAACGCCCTTGAGAACGACATAGCCCTTCTCGTAGAAGTCATCCCGCCAGTCGCCGTACTTTTGCTGAGCAGTGCTCGTGTTCTCGTTGTCGTCGAGGAAGGGCGCCATTATCGCAATGCAATGAGTTGATGAGTGAGAAATGGTGCTAATGGATTGGGAGTTGATGGCACAAGATATTCCTCCACTGATATACCTCACACCCCTCTACAATCCTCTCGGTCACATTACCCCGGCTCGCCCGTCCACGGCCGCTCGCTGCGGGGACAGACAAGCTTCGTTGTGGGGCGGACCCTGCGGCTCACTGCATCACGGTCGAGATCGGGCGAGCCTTAGCGTGCATGTGCATCTCGAAACACTCCACATGCCGACGCTACACCTCGAAAGGCGCGTGAAGATACAAAGAGCTGGTCACTCGGTAGAAGTGTCGCGGCCGAGAACGGTCGGGCGGTTTCCACGGAGTCCACCGGCGACAATACGCTCTTTTCAAAACCACGATGCGGCCTCCTCCTTCTCATGTTGCTGCAAGTCACTCGCAACAACTTCTTTGTCCGCTCTTTTCATACTGCAATCATGCCTCTCGCTTTTCAGGTCGCCAATCTGGCTGTCAAGCCGCCCAAGGTGGGTGAAAATGGCTACCAAGGCTTCAATCCGCGTAAAGAGACTCTTCGCAAGGGGTACCAAAGTCGGGATGGCGCTCGCGCACTTTCTGGAGACATGATTGCTGAGCACGATGTCGCTGTCAAAGTCAGAGATGGGTGTACGCTGTACTGCGATATCTACCGGCCTGTCGGTAGCGATGGGAGCGAGAAAGTGCCTGCGATTGTGGCCTGGAGTCCTTTTGGCAAGAAACATACGGGTATTGATATGATGTCAAAGGTTCGTGTTTACCGTACAGAACAAAGACTCATAATGAGGAAAGACTAACATCTTGCAGGTCAAATGGGGTTGCGGTGTACCGAAAGGCTGCCTCAGCGGTCTTGAGCGATTCGAAGGACCCGATCCGGCAGAATACGTTCCTCGGGGGTATGCGGTTGTCAACGTAGATGCGAGAGGTGCGGGAGACTCAGATGGAGACATTGTCATCATGGGAAAGCAAGAAGGCGAGGATGGGCACGACGTGATCGAAGAGCTCGCAAAGATGGACTGGTAAGATTCGCACCAGTCTTCCGGATAACACTAATCTAACGATGATACAGGTGCAACGGCTCGATCGGACTGGCAGGCAACTCACATCTCGGAATCGTCCAATGGTTCATCGCGGCAACACAACCTCCCTCGCTCAAAGCCATCGCACCCTGGGAAGCATGCGGCGATCTCTACCGTGAACAATTCGTCCGCGGCGGAGCTTGGGACAATGGCCTCTTCGACTTCATCACCGAGCACGTAATCCGGGGCAAGAACGGACTCGAAGACTTTAAAGAGATGTACCGTCGCTCCTCGACCATGAACCCCTACTGGGCAGACAAGCGCGCCGACATTGCCAGCATAAAGATCCCAACATACATCGTCGCGTCCTACTCCAGTTTCGTGCATACCATGGGCTCGATACGCGGCTGGATGCAAGTCGACACAAAAGATAAGTGGTTAAGATGGGACCCATATCAAGAGTGGTACGATCTATGGGCCGTCCAAGAATCCATCGACGAGCTCGCATCCTTCTTCGACCGGTACCTAAAGGGCGAAAAGAACGATTGGGAAAACACACCACGCGTACGCATGTCGTCGCTCAACTACGGCGACAAAGAAGCCATCTACCCCATCGTCGAAGAAGACTTCCCAATCCCACGAACAGACTACCGCACCCTCTACCTCTCCGCCGACAACAAGCTTGAAGCCACCGCACCAAGCACGGCCGGCACCTTAACCTACAACTCCGAAAGCAACACTTCCCCTGTCTCCCACGCAGCCTTCACAATGACCTTCGACAAGCCTACCCGCTTAATGGGCCTCCCCAAAGCCGTCTTATACATGTCCTGCCCAGACTTCAACGACATGATCGTCTACGTCCTAATCCGCAAACTCGACAAAAACGGCAAACCCATGATTGCTATAAACATTCCCTGGTCTGCCGCGCCTTACAAATCTGCCGCCGAAATCCCAGAATCCGATTACTCGAACTTGATGGTTTACTACGGCCCCACAGGCGTCCTCCGCGCCTCCCACCGTAAAACCGATCCCTCACAGTCTATCCACCCGCAATACCCATTTCATACGCACGATGAAGTGCAAAAGATACCGGCGGGGGAGGTGGTGAAGCTGGAGATAGGGCTATGGGCTATGGGTGTTGATTTCGAGGCTGGAGAGGGGATTAGCGTGCAGGTTAGTGGCGAGTATCCTCTAGTGCAGGAGTTTGGTCCGAGAAAGAAGGTGGAGCTTGAGGAGAGGAATAAGGGGACGCATGTGGTGCATGTGGGTGGGGAGTTTGGTAGTCATGTTGTTTTGCCGTTTGTGTGAGGGGGGTGTTGAGGGTCGGGAGGATGGTTATACCTAGAAGATGTGGTTCTATGGATGTTCGTTATTTTGCCAATGTACAAAATGCAACGCCTCAAAACACAGCCACAGCGCGTCATTTTCGTATCTCTTCCCGTTAGCCGTCCAGAAAATCTCCCGTATGTCTAAATTGGCACGCCTTACTGCCCTGGATCTTCCCTCTTTTGTCCTAGCTCCCTGCCAAAAGCTCTTGGCATGTCGGGCGCCTGACTAGAATGGGTTACGCGTGGTGAGGCTCTTCGTACGACTACAACTACGCGAGGAAGATTGAAAGTTAAAAGGGGCCCAGGCGTCGGTGAAGTGGGGAAAAAGTCTTCTGGTGGCATGGTTGGTATAGGTGTTAGATGAGAGCCTCGGGATGGGCATTGCTTGAGTAAAGTAGTAGAAGAAGAAAAGTGGATAAAGTGCCGCTGGTGCCGGTGGATGGGATGAGTATAAGGGAAAGGTGAAAGTAGGTTAGGTACGGATCAAACAAAGACGGAATACTACATATCTCCCGCACGACTTCGGATCCACGAAAACATTTCTGCCTCAAGAATACAACGAAACATCCTCACCCACACAACCATGTCTTCCCTCACCTCTTTAGACACCTTCCTGTTCCCCACACCAACCTCCTCCCTCGCCCCCTCGGGCACACAGATGATAATATCCGGCACCCCCTTGGCAACGCCCCTAACCTGCCACCCCTCCGTATCCCGAGAAATGTTCTTCAGCGACGTATCCGGCATGTATTGCACGTACAACATCGACGCCGGCAGCAGCAACAAAACGATCCCCTACCTCGCCTCGTGCTGCAAACCGGGGGCTGAGGTGAAAATGTGGCAGGACTGCATGCTTTACTGCGAGACTTCGTCGAGGCAGGCCGACGAGTGGAGGGAGTGTGTCGAGGAGATTTATCCGCAGGCGAAGACGGATCCTCACTTTGAGGTTGTGCAGGTGTGCTATGGGTTGGAGGGGAGGGGGTTGGAGTACATAGAGGGGCCGAATGGGACGAGGGCGGCGGAGGTGGCGCAGAGTACGACGGCCGTGGGGAGTGCGGTGCAGACGGGGGATGGGGAAGGTATGTTGAGACTTGACGAGATGCGTGTGAGATGTTTGACTGACTGACTGGTGTTAGGTAAGGCGAGTGGGGATGGAGCTTCTTTGAGGCTGGTGGGATGGGCGGTAGCTCTCCTGGCCGTGGGAGCTGGATTTCTGGCTTGAGTGTCAGTTCCGTGTTGGGCTGAGCTACGAAACAGAAGATGTCCCGTTATATACCCATGGAGAAGGAGTAACCCTGTAAGATAGATGTGAGGGCTGCTTGATTAGTATAGTCATCACTGTAGTAATGCTGAACATCAGTGACATCGTAAAGCGTATGCCATGCGCTGCCACAACTCACCGTACAGGCGGCCTTGGATGCGTTTGATGTATACACGATATGTTTTACAATTCCCACCTCACAAC